TTTAATGTTTATAATACAAATAACAGTAAGCATTAAAATAAAATTACTTGACATATAACAAAATTTTTAAATTTTTGGCTAGTACCTAACAAATTTTGCTATAGTTAGTCAAGAAGTCTAACTATAGATAACATATGCACATCGAGTTAATTAATAAAACGGCGAGGGTATTGAGATCCGGCTGCATTATAACAGACCTACTTGATTTGCGTACGCCTAACGCAACCTGGTACGTATAGAAATTTTATATATGTATATTTATTTCTATATAAAAATGTACTATTATTTTCTAGTGATAAATATTTTATTCTTTTAGAAGCATAATAATTTGCGAGAAACCTAATTTTAGAAAACCAAAACTGATCTTAATTTCTGTATTATAGTAACTTACTTTTAAAAGTATTTATAACGATTTGTATTTATTTTTTATATTTACACAAAATGCATGCTGCGATATACTTTTATATATACATATGTAATGCATAATAAAATTAACTAGATTCCCACATCGAACCTTACAACAGGTTCCTGTACATTTATTAAAAATGTGGTCATAATGTCGCTATGTAAATGAAAAATAATCGGATGACTATAATTTTGTCAAAAACAATATTTAACGTAGCGTATACTTTTGTTGAAATCCCGTTCGACCAAATTGTAAGCAATATTGGATTCTGCGGTAAATTTACCATTTATCTCAAGAAAAGGCTGCAGTTTTCATGTAAGAATACCAAAATACTTTTATATGATTTTTCATATTAATAATGGGTTTAAGCTTTTGGCATATGGTACCTTTTCCAAAAGGTATAGTAAAAATTTCCGAGAAGTATTGTTTGTTACATCGTGGTTTATTTGATAGGCAGGCGGATTGGAACTGGAAATTCAAACTTGGTTAACTGAAATACTTTTTACTCAACATCTTTCAGAAATATATAAACGATTATAAGTATAGGTGAATAGCTCTTTTATTAGGAGAAGTGCATATATTTATAAATTTATATACATATAACCTTATATTTATTATTCAAAATTTAATAATTTAATATAATATTGTAATTTTATACAAAGATACATATATTGCACAGGTATGCCTAGCTATAGAATAAAAAAAATTTTCGTTTTACAGAATTGATTACTGTATACCATATTATTTTATTGTATACTAACATTGCTCACGAATACATTGAAAAATTTTAATCCAAAATCTATACGCATACATATGTGAAGATATAATCTACTTATGACATGTGCTTAAATTATTTCCTGGAAATATATTTTACATATGTAGGTACTTCATTTACATATTGAAGACAATGAAATTGCAAAAATATTTATATTTATGTATAAAACTAATCGAAATAATATTTTCTTTTTATAATACATAAATGGAGCTATTGTTCGATATTGTCCTTTCCTTTACAAAACCTGCGTATCTGTAATATATGAGTACGTCTAGATGAATTTCTTGAAATATGAATATTTTCTTATTGTTTGCTATTCACTTATTAAATTGTTTGCTTTGTTATATTTAACATCGAAAAAATTGAAAACAAAAAACCTCTAAATGTTATAAACCTTTTCTCTTCTGTTCCTATATACACAGACTTTATATTTATAATTCTGAATAAAGAATTTTATACACAATATAAAAATATGCACAATAATTAATGTGATTCATTGTCTAAATGACATTTTTAATATTATACAGCAACAATATCAACAGAAACTGAATAATATTGCCATATTGCAATCATGACTATTTGATTTATTAAAATAAGACGACAATCAACAAGCACAAGTAAAAAGATTTTTAAGTCTTGACTTCTTTTTAATTCTAGAACCTCTTAATCATTTTCATCTGCCAATTTTTATATTTTGTGTAAATTTAACAGTATACATATGTATGTTAAATTCTTATATACAAAAAATATCTTAATATAATAAATTTAATTTTAGTTTAATAAAAGTAAAAGCAGAACGCAGAAAGAAACAAAATTAAAAATTTAATGGATAAAATAAAATCGATTTAAATTTATGACAAATTCCAAAAATATTTTTTTTCTCTCTCTTTATTTGTTAAGAAAACACATTGTTTTTTACTGCTGCTTTTTTTTTGGTGTATTTACAATATTAACTCGCTTGAATCTTATTATTAAACAAGAATTTGTAATATAAAACTTTATAAAAAAAAATGGCAAAAAAATTGTAACCACGGAGGAAAATGATTTGTCATAATGTATCATTTTCGCTTTTAGCAAAAATATTTTTATATTTACTAGCACACCCTCGAAAAAACGAGATTTTGTTTGGAGAAAAACAAGAAAAACAAAGTAAAATTAAAGCAAATAATGTTAGAAAAAATGCATTCCATAATCTCTAATAAACGAGCTATATTGTCGTTGTTGTAGACTACATAAGCACAGAGCTATTTATCTATTTAACTAACGACAACTGGTTTAATTGAGTCGCTTTTTTTTTATAGTTAACCATAAGTTTTTTTTTCATTTGTTTGTCATTATCTAAGCTGGTTTTCTATTTTATTTTATATTAAAAAAAAAATTCATACACATACTTTGATAATAAATTTTTTTTTTTTCTTTTAAATTGAATTTTCATTTACTCTTGGAAAATTCGTTTTAAACTTTTCATGTATTTGTTTATTTATACACATACATGCATCCTTTTATTTCATTTCTATAATAGTGCGCTATTATAATTTTCAAATAGACCATAGTCAGTTGAACAGCTTTATTTAATTTTACTTTATAAAATTCATAATATTCGAAATTAGCTTCTAATTGAACGGTGAAAGAAAAAATTATGAATTTAATCAATTTTTGTCTCTTCTTTAAAGTATAGCTTCTTTAATATTCTAATCCTCTCTTCCCTTACCTCGTTTCTTTCTCTTTAATTTAAAAATATTTTGCATTGAAATTTACACTACCCAATGCCCATATCTATTATGCTTGCTGTTACTTGAATAAATTTTATAAACTTAGTAATTTATTAAATTTTTTTTTAAACTGAGAAAAGAAAAATCATCAAGAATGTTTAGACTTTCTTGATTTAATAATGAAAAGTATAATATTTTTTTTATTAAATAAAATAGTTAAAGTCTTTCGACCATAACAATTGTCGTTTGACAGCCACGTTGCAACAATTTTATGTACTTATGTATATAACGTAAATTTTTTTTTCTACTATCATGACATATCTGTTTTATTAATGTATAACCAGTCTTGAATTATTACTTTGGAAATTATGTAAAAGAAAACAAAAAAAAACAAACCTTTATTTTAAAAATCAATTCACATTTCTTTTATAGACGTCATTATGGTGCACACCATCACTATATCAATAATATAAGATCATTGTTTGCATAAAGTTGGTAATGTGATTTTTGACTTTTTCTAATTTTATTAACTTAAGGTTGCCAAATCACTATTGAAGAAAAACTAATACTTCCCTACTATTTAAGAATAACATGAATTTCGTACGAAAATTCTAACTATGCATATGTACATACATTCACTTAAACAGCGCTTAAGACTCTGAACATTTTTTAATTAAATTTGCGTGAGCAATAATTATCTATGTATGTAGTTAAAAAATATTTGATATTTAAAATTTCATAAATCTGTACGATTTTAGGCACAAGCTTGGTGTGTCATCATTACGTGTTCCAACGATTTAAACAAAATTTTTGTAGAATATTGTTAATTAATTTATTAATAACCGAAATTTGTAACGAATATAACATTATAAAATTAAACCCTCAGCAGAATTCTTGATTGTTTCCAGCATTTGAAATTTACATTATGTACAGAGTTTTTTTATCCATACGTCTTTAATGCATTAGAGTAAATGACAACATAAATTTAATCCGGATATTTCCATTTAAACTATCTTACCCAAAAAAAATTTCTCTCCTTGGGGGAATTCTCTATGCTCAAAGTAATTAAATTCAATTCAAAAAATAGTTGCTATTAATAGAATATTTGACATGATTATTTTAAATACATGCGTGTACCGACCTAATGAAATTGGGATCGATATAGTTATGATGAACTCTTACCACTATTGATGATAGATCGGCAATCCATCAAATTTTAAGTAAAATATCTAATATATCTCATAAAAATATTCTATTCACATAATTAAAAAGCTTATGTTTCTCCTTTTTTCAAATTTTTTATTTCAACTTTATTAACATTTTTATTTACCATAAAATTACTCCTATATTCGTAGCCGTACTCGCAATAACAAACCTTTGTATTTTCATTATTGTTTTCCTTTTTTATTTCATGATTTTTTTTTTGTTTTGTTTTCTTTTTCGGTTTTCTGGAATCTCTTACTCACCTAAGATTTTACCATTTCTTGTAAAATTAAAGTAAAATGAATAAAACAAAACAAGAAAAAAAAGTGCTCCCCCTACCTGATAAAAAAAGTAGTCAATTTTTTTTTTGTTATTTTTATAATTATGAACAATACACTCACGATCGATTAAAATTTACAAACAATTTACGAGTATTCGAACGAATACCATACCAACCCAAAGTACACACAAACATAACATATTATATCTGCGTTCAACAGTTAAGTTTGTAACTAAAATTAGTAAAGAAAAGAAAATATGAAAATAGAAGAATAAAATAAGTAAAAACAGAAAAAAATCAGAAATAATTTTTTAAAATGCGCGCCACAACAACGGTATGTGCTCTGTACACAAATACCATCGATACAAAACCGCCTTTACGAGAAGCTTAAAATATCGAAGAAAAACAAAATAACTAAAATAAAGTAAATTTTTTCATACACAAAAATAAACGTACATTTAATAGTAAATATATGAAAAAAAAAAAAAAAATAATAAGTAGAAAAAAAAAAAAACAAAAATAATAATTTTTTTTCTACCAAACCTCCACCATTTTTTTTTCTTCATAATAAAATTCGTACAAAATAAGTTGTCGAGTATAAAAAGAGAATGTAAGAGCTCGAACCACACACAGTCGGTTTTCAAGTTTTTTATTGATTGGACACGGAACGAATTTTATCTCGTTTTTGTTTCAAATCTCACAAAAAAAAATTTTTTTTTATTAAAAAATCAATTAATACTCAAAATTAATTATTTAATTTTTTATTAATTATTTTTCTATAATTTAATTTTAAATTAACAAAAAAAAAATAAAAAATTCAAAAATGAAACAATTTATGGTTATATTTGTTGCACTCTTTGGAGCCGGTATGTATTTTATTTTATTTCATAAAATCAAAAATCAAATTGGAGTAAATTGCCTATACATCCTTTATCTACATACTCTCTTAAATATGAAAACGTTATAAGGACTATAATGAATACAAAAGAGGATTAATTATTTTTTTTTTCATGATCTATTAAATCTATTGATCTACAATATTAACTGTAAAATCTTGTATATTATATGGATTTAAACCTGCTATATTTATACCGTTATTTATTATAATTAAAGTAAAGTCTAGATTTCTCTGTAGTTACAAAAAGTGAAAAAATGAATTTTAAAAGACAAAATAAAAATTTTTATTTAATTTTCCTTTAAAAAAAAATTGGAAATGCAAATCAAAAATTCAAATAAAAAAGAAAGAAAAAACAAAAAAAAAACTGAAATTTTCTCTGAAATATCAAGTTTTTTATATGATGGAAAACTAAAGTGAATGTTATATAAAAATTTAATAAATAAAATATGGTGACATGGTAAAATAGAAATTTGAAATTAATTAAAAAATTATGAAAGAAGAGAAAAACAAAAATAAGAAAACTATAAAAACCATTAAATTAACTATGATTTCCATAATGAATAATCAAAAACACAAAAAAAAAAGAAAACTTAAAAAAACACAAGAAAAAAATGAATAAAAAAAAAAGTTGAATTTTACAAAAATTAAAATACAATTGCGATATTTTTTCAGCCATCTTATGTAGATTATACTCGCGAATTTTCTTTCAAAAAAAAAAATGTGAAATCCCTCTATAAATAAGTATGTGCAGCGAAAATATGCAATAAAATGAAATAATATGAAAATTGATATACACAAGTTAATTATGCTATATGTGTAAAAAGTAAATTTATATATGTACCAAAGAAAAATCAAACGACTTTAGAAAAACGAGAATTAATATTACAAGTATACGCAATAGTAATTTTGTAAATATGTATATTAAAATAATTAAGTTTCGATGTTAAAATTAAAAAGTATCGTTTACATTTTTTTTTCATTTCAATAACAATTAACAACATTACAATTAACTGGCAACATTATAATTAATTTTAGTTTAATTTTTATAAATTACCAAGAATTTCAAGAATGTTTTTAATAATTCATTCTTTTTTTATTTTATTAATTAAATTTTTGTCAATAAATCTGCCTTCTTTAATTTTGAAGTTATGAATAATTTAATTTTATTTTTAAACTTAGTTTAATTTTTTCGAAACACATTTTATCGTTTTACTTAGATAGTTTTCCCTTGAAATCACACATTTTATTAATATTGTTGCCATTGAAATCGTCAAAAAATTTTGCTTTTCAAAATAATTTTTTTCTATTTTTTAATTTTAATTTACACATAAACTTACGAATTTTAAATACTTACTTAAAGATTTAAATACTTATCTAAGAAAATTTACAAAATTAATTCCATTTATAGAGGGTACAAGAAAATTGTACTTGTAGAAAATCACTTTTAAAAAATACATAGAACCGGAAAACAATTTCAATAATAAAAATTCTAATTTAGTTTCAACTATATAATTATTCAATTAAAAAAGGTTTTAATAAAATAATCATTAATTTTTGTAATACCAAAATTATTTGTCTTTATAAAATTTCGGACGGAAACCTTAAAAAATTAATACAATTTATGATAGTCTATTCTATCTTCAATATAACTATATCTACAAATTGAATATTATAAACTATGCTTACCTAATTAATTAAATATACTACGCCTAAAAGACTAAAAATTAAGAATTTATTTATAAATTAAGAACATAATTTTAATAGCTCAATTACTTAACTTATAATAGAAACTTTAGTAATGTTCATTTGAAGCTGTTATTTATTCAATATGTGTACATAATATGAATAAACATATATACATATATATATATATATATATATATATGTATACTGTTTCCATATAAATTTACCACTCAATATTTTTTTATATATAAAAATATTAAAAATTCCCTTGAATTTTACTTAAGTACACAATTGAAAAGTTTATAATCACATACTTATGTAAATGCTCCTTAAATACAATATTTAAGAGTCTATTTTATAGACTTTATGCAGTATTTTTTTTTTTTTTAATTACACATACGTACATTCATACATACTAAATACATATTTCTTTTTATTTTATATTTATTTTTCACCTGAATTTATTCTTTGATTGTAAATGTTAAAAATACAATTATAATAACCGCCTAGTTACTGTTATAATAACTGTAATAAATTTATTTTTTTATTTTTATCTTAGTTTTTTTTTATTTCTATTTCTACCATTTTTTGTTTCTTCTTGTTTTTATTTTTCTTTTTAATTTTTGAAAGTAAAAGTTGATTCAAGAAGACTTGAACGTTTCATATCGTTCACATTTTATTCTGATATTTTGATTTTTTTTTTTTGTGTCTTCTGTTGAAATTAAAAGTTAAATCTGAATTAAAATTATGTTTGAAGAAGAAATAAAAAAACAACACAGAGCTGTATAGAATTAATTAAAAACAGTAAAAAAAAAACACAAAAAGAAGAAGTGATTGTTGCATGACAACATTGTCTTCTTACTGTTATGCATTTTTAGAAGATTATAAATGTAATGTTATCATATTATTGTAGAAGGAATATGCTATCTGCTATATAATTATATATGTACATATGATCATATATAGCATAGAAATAAATGATTTCTACATACTTAAGTATAAGCACACTTTGATGCTAACAATTATTTATGATGCCTTTTTTTGTTTCGGATTTTTAGAGTGTACACAATATTGTAAAATATGCGATATTGCATCAGAAGAGGAATGATTAAATTTTCTATTTTTGGAATATTCAAACATTTTGAATATTTTTTTGTACTGTGAAATCTAAAATTATGAAAAAACATATACATATGTATAAGTATGTAGTATGATGCTAAGCTCAGTTCAGAGAGCATTATATAATATTTTAAATTTATTGCATATTGCCATATTAGTAACATTTTGACAAAGCTAAAATTGAATAATATAAGAATACTAAATATAAATTCTAATTTGATTCAAAATTTTATTTCTATTTTATGCTTTTCATTTGATTGCAAAGAGGCCACTTACTTATTATTATAGATTATTAATTGAAAATCTTAATGGAATATTAATATTCGGTACATCATAAATAAATTAATTCTAAACATAAATAATATGGAAAAATCTATGTTTCTTATACGCCTTCCTTTGTATTGATGTTGTCAAAATTTGATTCAGAATTTAAATGGAATTTTCTTGTAAAACTTGAATTTTTAATATTTTGTATAAGTAAATATGAGTTTTATAGATTTTAGAAAATGCAATTTAAATTGTACAAGAATGACATTTCGAATAAATTCAGTTTTTAATAGCTTCATACATATATGCAATATGGACATGGATATGTTAGTTGCGTTTGTATGTATGTACATGTAGTTGCTTGAACTATTTAAATATTTTTTATACAATTTTAGTTTTCGGAATTTCAAATTCATCTCGAAACGTGAATTTATTTTTGAAATTTTCAAGCTCATTTTAAATCTTAATTTAAACTAAATGGTAATTTGAAAGGAAAACAAAATTTTAATTTTATTATTTTTTTCAAATTCGATTAGCAATTTTTTTTTTTCGTTAAATACTGTTATAAGTTAAACGAATAGATAGAAGAAATCAATAAAATCTAATTGTCTCTCAGATTTATTTTGAATTTTAATAAATTTCGAAAAGGAAAAAAGTCAACTTTAAATTAAAATTTTAAACAACACATACAAAATACACATAAAATTTAATATGACACTTTTAAATAATCATTTAAGCCTCATTTACTTCAATCTTATTTTTGAGACACTATAAGAATTTCAAATAAACCTAATAAAAATTAAAGAGGTTTTTGTCTTCCATATTGAATAACAATATACACGCATACACACTTGTACTTTTAGGGTATGCCAAAAAAGAAAAAAAAAATGTTAGAATATTATGTTGTAATTAATAAAATGTTTCCATACGCCATGTAAAGTCGTCACTTACAAGATACAAAGCAAAAAACAAAAATCAGGAGAGAAAAAGTACCGTTATATTTTTGTTAAATTTCCACGTTAATCTGAATCTTTTTTCTTTTTTTTATCTTTCCCTAATGTTATGTAATAAAATTAATGTTATTTTTAGCATAGGTTTTTTTGCTACATACATTTTTAATTTTGTTTAAAAATTAAATAAAAGAGAAAACATGAAAAAATCAAATACAAAAATTAAATAAAGGTATTTGAACGTTTAATGAACCTTTACCGATTTAAACTGTTTTTTGTTGTCGTTTCACTTAATTTCTTTGCTGCTTGCTTTTTTTTATATTTTGATATGTTTTTTTTTTTCTTTACAAAATCTGATCACGTATTTAAATAATGATCTCTATGCTTTAAATTCATAACAGATAGAAAAACCCATTTAAAATAATAGTAACAATTCTGTTAAGATAAATTTAAAATTTGGTAAAAAAATGTAACCAAATAATTGGTTTTTAAATACACGCATGTATGTTAGTGTGTAGGCATGCATATTATGGAGAATTCAAATTTTTTAATGGTGAAAAATAATACGCATACACTAATGGCACATAGGTATAATAAGTATAACTTAGTATTTATCTAAAAATTTTTTTCCTAAAACTTGCCATAATTTATAAGTAAAAATCATAAGCTATCTTATAATATTCTTGATGGAATTGTTTCCGTTATTGTGCACGAAATTGTGTTTATTCTTAAAATTAATAATTTACTCAACACTAGGTTTTTTTTTATATGACATTGCATTATTTTATTTAATCTCTAATACATACATTATTTTGAATTTGAACATTATTGTTTTACATCTTCTATTCCCACATTTAAAATATAATAAAAAAATTTTATTTACTATGTAAGTACTCGTATGTGTATGAAATATAATAATGTCAAATATTTTGTATTCAGAAATAAAATT